CTAAATTCCGTCTCCTGTATTGAAGATAACGAAGCGAATCTGCTACACTAGGGCCAAAATTAAACGAGACCGGATTCCGATGAACATGGCAACAGATACGGCGGCAGAATTTGAGATTGCGAGCGTTATGACTGCGAGTGCGAGAGCAATGTGGAGGTCGACCAAAATTGTTGCAGGAGGGAATGATTGCCATGGAAACCACCATGATTGACCACTCCAGATACTGGCAGTTGATATATAAGGTAGTTTCCCAGATTATCAATGGAAGCAAATTTCGAAGGAAGGTCTCGATGGCGCCACGATACCCAGAATTTGCGGCACCATAAAGCTCAGATGACGAAGGTTGAAGAATGAAGAAAAAAAATTAATTTTTTTGTCTAATAAAAGGAAAAAAAAAAAAAAAAAAAAATATATATATATATATATATATATATATATATATATATATATATTATTTTAAAATTTTTTCTAGAATAATTAGTCAAAAAAAATATTTATAAAATTAAAATATAAAATATAACAAATGAATGTAATATTTAATTATATCTTAAGCAAAATAATATTTTTTAATTATCAATAAATTTGGTTGGTTCTATTTTATGTCTCCCCTTTTGTATATAAATGTGACGGAGATAGAATTTTTGATATTTGGAACCATGGAAGAAGGTCGGGAGAAACCATAAAAATATACATAGAAAGGTTAAAGGAGAGAAAATGGCAAATGATATAAAGTAACAAAGTACCCAATGATGAATTACGGCACTTAAATGGTCCTAATTAAGTAAATGTAAGAAAATTACTTGTGGTTAAATAATGAATTAAGGGGTAAAAATGTCAAATTTCTTATAAGAATTAATGCATTAAGAAAATAGAACTAATATTGCACATACCTTACGTTGTTGACTTCGAGAGTCAACGGCCGAGACAAGAAAATGAATTTCAACCGCTACCAACTACTAGAGAGCTTGTTCAAGGCATTTGAATTCGTCATTTAGCCAACTTCAAGAATAAAAACATCTCTAAAATAGTTCACAATTTCAGTGTCGAAACCTAATTGAACTAGAAAAGAGGACGAGCATCACAATCTCTCATGGATTCCATAAAAATGCCTATCCATAAAAATGCCTTTGATCCCATAAAAGGAATGAAAACGTAATTGGTCGTAGAAAGATTCAAGAATGAAAATGAGTTTGAGAAAAATATAGAGTGAATTATTAGATGGGCATGCCAATTAGAATTTTAACAATAAAAATATTTATGCGTGATTAATTTTTCTAATTATGAAACATTTTAGAAACAAGTAGGAAAGGATAATTAATATAATATAATAGTTGAAGTCAAAACAATAAACAATTATAAAAAAAAAACTTAGAAAATAATACAATTTTATAGTTGTTTGGTCAGATGCGACCTATTCCAACCTCCAAGCGCCTCTTAAACTTTCTTGACTTTCTTCCACTCTCCAAACGCCTCTTAAACTTTCTTGACTCTCTTCCACTCTCCAAACACCTCTTAGTTCAAAAGCAAACTCAAAGATCAAAGTGTACTATTTAAATTTTGTAGGAAGGCATCACAATACTAGAATACAATTTAATCATTTGCAATTTCCTCACAATACAATAAAAATCTCACTCTACTTAAAAAAAGAACCATTTAAAAGTAAATATTAAAAACAAATTAAATTAAATTAAATTTTTTTAAAATTATAATAATATAATATAAAATTAATAAAATTAAAAATTTATTATAAATATAATAATATAATATTAATAAATAATATTAATAAAATAACATAAATAACAATTTTTTTAATTTTATGTTTTATAATTTAAATGTCATATGATGTATAAATATATTTCTATTTCTCAAAGATAATTAAGAACTCCGTTCGTTACTTTTCCAAAGTTCTATTAGTCTATGACGTCGAGTATCTTATTTTAAGTTCTTCAATATAGTTTTGATTTGAGTGATTAAAAGAAAATATTGAAATCGTTATTTCCAACTTTATATTGTGTACAATTCAAAAGACTATAATTATTAATAATTAAGTGTAGGTTTGTTATCATCAAACTAACAATTAATTAATTTGATATTAAAGAGTCAATAAACCAACTATCTACCTATTTTTTTGTCCGAGATAAACATTTCAAGAAAAATTCATAAAAATCTAAAATAATATACATGTCCAAATAAAAATATCGATGCATTTTAATATATCATAAATTTCATACTTAAAATTCATTTAACAACGAGTAACGCACGAGAATATTTCCCCCATATATTAGCCTCAATAAATTATGAACCATCACATTATTCATAAATTATAAAACAACATATTTAGAGCATATTTTTCTTAATTTTCTTCAATTTTCTCCAATTTTAAAATCATCAAAATAAACAATTGAAAAATAATAAATTAAAAACGACATAATAGCTCCCTCTACGAACTTGTTTTAAAAAATTATAAACAATATTATAAAATTCAAGATATATCAAATAAATAATACCAAGCTCAAGTTTACTTATGCAAAAATAATAATAATAATAAATAATAATAAAAAATTTTCATTAATTCTGTGGGAAAATATCAACTAATTGATTATAAGAATTTTCCAAAATCAAGAATGATATGTCTATTTTGCACTCGCTCCCAAATAAAATAGTCTAATATCAATATGTTTATGATGAATAAATTTTTTTGTTAAATTAATAGCACTTGTGTTATCACAAAACATAGGAATACCATCAAATTTTAATCCAAAATCAGAAATAATTTGTTTCATCCAAAGAATTTAAGCACAACTAGCAACCGAAATATATTCCGCTTCCGTAGTAGATAAGCACTAGTGTTATCACAAAATACATACTATCAAATTTCAATCCAAAATCACAAAAACTGTTTCATCTAAAAAAATTTGAGCACAACAACTAGCAACCAAAATATATTCCACTTCCGTAGTAGATAAGCGTGTTATCACAAAACATAGGCACACTATCAAATTTTAATCCAAAATCACAAAAAACTAATGAATGACAACCGAAATATATTCTGCATTCGTAGTAGATAAGACAACCAAATTTTGCTTTTAACTAAACCAAGAAACTAATGAATGACAAATTCCACTTTTACGATCAAGTAAGCTTTCGGCAAAATTCGCATAAGAATATTCCACTAATTTAAACTCAACATTTATAGGATACAACAATCTTAAATCAATAGTTACAAGTAAATATTTAAATATTCTTTTAACAACATGTAAATGAGATTCCTTAGGACAAGATTGAAACCTAGCACGAAGACATCATACACTAAACATAATATCGGGTTTACTAGCAGTTAAGCGGTAAAATAAAGAGATCCAATCATACCTCGATAAAATTTAATATCCACACATTTACCTTTTTCATCCTTGTCAAGCTTAGTGGATTTAGTGGATGTGCTCACGGGAGTTTTTTCAATCTTACCTACATCGAAGTTGAACCTTTTGATTAAATCTTTAGTGTGTATTTCTCCCGATTTACGATGATACCATCCTTGAGATGTTTGATTTGAAGTCCAACAAAGAAACTAGACTCTCCCATCATACTCGTCTCAAACTCATGCATATATTTTAAAAATTCTTCACATAAAGAAGATTAGTAAAACCAAATATGATATCATCTACATATACTTGCACTAATAGCATCTCATTTTCTTTAATCTTAATAAAAAGGGCAGTGTCGAGTTTATCTATTTTAAAATCATTCCTAGTAAGAAAATTACCCGGTCTATCATACCATAAACATGACCTTTTTTTATTAAAATCATACTTATTTTAAACTCATACCTATTTTAAACTCATACCTATTTTAAACTCAACGCTATTTTTTTATTAAAATTAAAGAAAATAATATATTATTAGTGCAAATATATGGGTATGATATCATATTTAGATCTACTAATCTTTTTTAGGTGAATAATTTTCTAAATGTATGCCTAATGAGTTTGAGATAGTATGATGGGAGTGCTTAGTTTCTTTCTTCGCCTTCAAATCAAACAACTCAAAAATGGTATCTTTACCTATCAAGAGAAATACACTAGAGATTTACTTAAAAGGTTCAAGTTCAATAAACACAAGATTGCAAAAACTACCATGAGCATGCCTACTAAGCTTGACAAAGATGAAAAAGGTAATATGTGGATATTAAATCTTATTGAGGTATGATTGGATCTCTACTTTATTTAACCACTAATAGACCCGATATTATGTTTAGTGTATGTATGTGTGCTAAGTTTCAATTTGTTAATAGAATATTTAAATATTTGTTTGGAACTATTAATTTAGAATTGTGGTATCCTAATAATGTTGAGTTTAAATCAGGAGGATATTCTCATGCAAATTTTACCGGAAGCTTACTTAATCGTAAAAGTATTAGTGAAATTTGTCAATACTTGTCAATTTTTTGGTAGTTCATTAGTTTCTTGGTTCAGTAAAAAGTAAAATTCGGTTGTTTATAGGGTTTAGGAGGGACTCTATGGTATGTTCGAGAGAAGGATTGTTGAGAATTGTTGGGAGGGAGTCCCACATTAGCCAATTTAGGGAATGATCATAGGTTTATATGTAAGAAATACATCTTGATTGGTATGAGGCTTTTTGGGGAAGCCCAAAGTAAAGTCACGAGAGTTTATACTCAAAGTGGATAATATCATACAATTATGAATAATACCATACCATTGTGGAGAGTCGTGATTCCTAACCTTCTCTGTACTAAACATACCTTAAAAAGATGTATTTGGATCACAGAAAAGTGACTACTTCATTCTCACTAAATCTAACTATAATATTCAAATGCTATTTTTTCATTCCTTAACTAATATTATTGCTATTGATGTTCATGCCCTATAACCACTAATTATTAACAATTTAATACAAAAATTTGTTTATCTATTTTATTCATTGAATTTTCTCTTAGATAACATTTATTTTACTTAACATTACTACACTCGGAGGCATCTTTAAAAAAACCCATGATCCCAAAAATATCAGAATGTATAAACTAAACAGAATGCATTGCAGTAAAGTAACGACCAAAAACAAATATACAAATGGAATAACTTAGGCCTGCATGAAATGAAGACTACTAAGAAACAGTAAGATACCAAACTAATGAACATAATCTACTAAAAATTTGATTAGATTAATTAAAAAAAAAAAATAGCATGCAAGGTAAAAACTTGTTTTAGGAGAAGTATTTTGAATAACATATTGAAGAGAATATTACAACCAGAGGGATCCTAATTGCATGTAACAATCTGTAAATGAATAAAACTCAAGTATAGATCTAATGTTCTTAGGGGAGGCAAACTTGATTCTTGAATGTATATTATTTTATGAATTCGGAAAATCTGTAACAAGACATAGTATTCATTAAATAAAGAACACATCACTATAATTATAATACTTAAAAATGAAAGATATTAGAAGTACGGAATCCAGACAAGAACATGTTCGTTGTATGGTTATTAATAAATTGATTCACAAGTTCAACTCAGTAAAACTAAAAGGTTCATCAAAATACATACCGATAAATTTTGTTCAGAAGATACTCGGTTCACGCATCAGCATAAACCACTGCTTACACGAAATCATCCTCGAAATCCTGAAATCAAGTAAAAAGAAGACGATAGCAACTCGTACAAAATCTGAAATAAAAATATCGAGATATATTCTTTGAATCGTCGGATCGTCGTGCATAAAACAAGAGCTAAATTGAATATACGAATCGAATCGATCAACAAAAATACCTAATCCAATCTAATCGGCGAATAAAAAGAATCTGATACTCCTGATTATGAGACTGACCGATAACGATCCTTAGTTTAAAGAAGACTGTAGCAACTCGTACAAAATCTGAAATAAAAATGTCGAGATATATTCTTTGAATCATCGGATCGTCGTGCATAAAACAAGAGGTAAATTGAACATACGAATCGAATCGATCAACAAAAACACCTAATCCAATCTAATCGGCGAACAAAAAGAATCTGATACTTCTGATTATGAGACTGACCGATAACGATCCTTAGTTTAATGAACGATATTAGCTTAAAGTAATTAGGATATGAGGTTTCCCTATAAGAAAATCACCGAAACATACCTGTGTCATCTTATAGCAACGTGAGCCGCCATTAACTTCGAGCCCTAAAATCATCAAACTTCTCGTCAGAGCGATTTCAGTTTTAAAGAACGATGAACTTTCGCGCGCAAATTACGCGCCTTTTCTACCCAAATACTTTTCGTAGAATACTAGTGGGCCGACTTTTGTCATCAAATGAAATGGTGGGCCAGATTTTAAAAAGGAAAGGCCCAAATCCAATTCGTTTAGGGTTTGGATCATTGTTAACTGATGTAAACCTAAGCCCATTAAACGCTAAAGCCTTTTAGGCCCAACTCTGCAATACGTCCCAGCCCATCAATGTTTAGGAGGGTTATTGAGTTGATGGTAAATTTTTTTAATCCAAAATATCTATATATATATATATATATATATATATATATATATATATATAGAGAGAGAGAGAGAGAGAG